GGTTGCGGCCCCGTTCCAGTTCATGCGCTTGGCGGATCCGAAATTCTTTCGCGAGTCACCAATACGCCTCACACTGGGCCTCGATTTGCATGCGCAGATGATGGTGAGCGGGACCCCCCCATCCACCGTGGGTGGTCTCCTGGTCCAGGCGACCATATACGGTCTGGTTATTTCGGGAGCCTGCCAACCATAAACGTAGAGATTAAGAAGACAAAACCACACATACACACACACTCATCACACACATACCTTAAAATTTAAATAAAAAAAAGTGCATTGAAATTTCAAACCACGTCTGTTCCAATTAACAATGTCCTTTTCTCCACAGCCTCAGATGAGCCGGTCGCGACGAAAGCGTTGGCGAATAAGCAGACCCGCGCAGTACAAAATCCGCGCTGCATATTATAGTTAGTCCTTAAGACTTTCCTCACGTGCGTGTGACGGTTGAGACGCGACTCCTTTTTTTTCATAGCTTGCTTACCGCAAGGGGGCCGGTATGTTTAGGTCCGCGAACTAAATATATTGCACCACCCTAATCCGCGTTTTGTCACTTGATGTAAGAGCACACAAACACATACATAAGTTACGGCTATCTTTCCAGCCTCGTGGCCACGACGTTTTTGCAGCACGAAATATTTTGAACGCATTTCGTCAATCCAAAAAGCTGGTGGCATTAGCATTTCTTTCGGATGAATCCACATCTTATTGCGTTTTTTCCTTTCTTTATTACGTATTTTGTTTAAAAAAAAATTAGAAGATATGATCTCCACTTCTTTGATTAGCCTTAAATCAAGTTCTTTGTGTAAAATTCTACTTTTAGCAATGGTCTTTAATTATTTGATACCGTCCAACCCAACCACTTTCCCACATAGAGAAATAACACAAAGTTCACTTTATGCTGCAAGTTATCGCTTTTCCTCGTTAGCAACTATTTTTTTATACTAGAAGTACAGAATCATGCACTTCTTGAAGCGTTTATTGTGGTACTTGGTGTAAAAACCTTTTTAATTTTCCACTGTCAACTGGAGTTCGCTGCGGTGATTATACGACATGAATAGCAAATTTGAAGATAAACCATGAAATTCCCTCCTCTTTTTTTTTTGGTTTTTTTTTTTTTTACACCATCACACGCAACTAGACCATGCTACTCAAGGTGTAGATGAAAATGATTTCATCTGGAGGCAATATACTATCCTGCTTAATTAACCAACGATACACTCTCAAGGGTGCCCAACGTCGTATTAACGCTATCGGCAACACATTAGGCCTTTCTAATCACACTATGAAGTTAATAGAACGACGCTTTGTGGAGGATAAATATGTAATTTTGGCCGGTCTGGGTGTTACGCTGTTGGTCATGTATTTTGAGTATAATAGCAGTAAGTTAATATGTAATCTACTTTTTCATGTTAAACATAGTTTGCAATATGAGTCGAATTCTGCCTTAAGATCGATGTGTTTAAATTATATGGAAACAACTCAATAAATACATTTTCAGATTCGCTGCTATGAACGCTTCACGGTTTGGAAAATCCACTAATTAACCACATCAAATCTCATAAAGAATCGAGTACACAACAACATCATCC